GGAGTCTACAGGCATTGCCCTCAGGAGCCTATTCTGTGGCAGTCCACCTCCCGAAGCTGCTTCAGAGGTGAGTGACTGGAGCTACCCTCCTGCTTGGTTTTTTGCTGAGACCCCCCTCTCCATCAATCCTATGGTGCCTTCCCCATTCTCCCTGCCTCCTGCCTTCCCAGCTGTCAACTCTGGCCCATCTCCCCTCTCCCTGTAAACTCAACTTGTCTTCTGCTTTGGCTCTGACAAAGTTGGAGACGCCCGAGTCCGGTGACAAGCGCAAGCTCAAGCGGGTGCGAATCTCCCTGGCGGTATGTGTCTTTCTCCCTGCAGCTCAGGAGCACTAGGCAGGGAGGGCAGGGGTCTAGACCGGGTAAGTCTCCCAGAGCTTGGGTACACCCACCTCCCTTCCGCTCTCCCTCTCAGAGTGACTCAGGCCTGGAAGGCGAGATGAGCCCTGAAGAGGTAAGGTGCCACTGGACTCTGGACCCTATTTCTTCCTGGGTGTGGTCAGTCATCATCTTGGCCGATAGGAGGGACCAAGGGGCAGGCCGACCTCCAGGGAGGTGAGGGCAGCTTTGCGCACCTTCCCCCTAACTCTCAGTCCCTTCCCCTCAGATTCTGGAGTGGGAGGAGCAACAACTAGATGAACCTGTCAACTTCAGTGACTGCAAAATTGATCCTGCCCCCTTCCAGCTGGTGGAGCGGACCTCTTTGCACAAGGTAGGTCCCACACATACACAAGTTTGGACTCAGGCAAGTAGGGACGGAAGGCAGGGAGAGAGTAGGCTCTGTGCTGAGATGCTTTTTGGACAATGTGGGGCTGGAAGCCAGGACCCATTAGCCTTGTCCTGCTCCATGGTGGAGCCAGGCATCATTTTTCTTCTGCCCAGCCTTGCCCCCAGGGAACTCTGGACCAAGCCAGTAACAAAGACAAGGCTTGAGTTGGGTGGAAGCCAGAAGGCTAGGCCATGGTCAGAGCTAGGCAGTAGGCTGCCAGAGCCCAACAAGGCTGATACACCCACGCTAAAAAAAAAATGGGTGAGAAACAGGCGGGATAAGAAAATCTAATAAACAAGCTAACAAACAGCCAAGTAGGAGTGGGGAGACTGCAGAGAAGAGATAAACAAAGATGAGAAACACCCAGTGGGGGACTTGGAATGTCAGACCCCAGAAAGTTTGACTAAATATGGGTCAAAGGAAAGCTGGTAGGGACTCAGGAAGACAGCTCAGCAGAAGGGGAGAATGGCCTGCAGCGATGGAGAGGAATTAAATACAGACAGGCCAGTGGGTGAGGCAAATGCCTAAAGAACATGGGGGCTCCCAAGGATGGAGTAGCTGGCACCACTTGGCACCTGCAGAATTCCAGATGAAAAGAGGGAGTGCAGATGCACCCAACAAAAGCCAAAGGGAGTTTTAGCTACATTTTTGACAGACTTATCATGTAAGCCTCCATTGAAGGATACAAGGGAAAGGGGACAGGCAATACCCCCAAGGCCTGCAGCCTGGGTGGCTGGCTTAGACATAAGCTGTGCCTGAGAGCCAATATAGCACACATAAGCAGAGGCTGCGGCAGGAAGGATAGGGCAGAGAAGAGAAACAAGAATGAGAGAGTGGCTCAAGTGGTAGAGCACCTACCTAGGAAGCGTGGGGTCCTGAGTTCAAACCCAGTGCCACCAAAAAGAGAAACAAAAAAGTAATAAAGGAACTTCACATCAGAGTGAGTGAGAAACTCCAGTACAGTTCAAGAAAAACAGCAGTAGGCCTGAGGATAATATAGTAAGGCTTTTATTTAAAGCCTTTCTTCCAAAAATCTCTAAAGCTTTTCCTATAATGACCTAATCCTCAGACAGCCATAATGGTGATGATAATAATGCTGACATTATTAGCCAGGCACTGTGCTAAGCTCTTCACATGTAATTTAATCTTCATAACCACATGACATTGCAATTTTTATAGCAGAACTAGAGATTCAGAGAGGTTAAGCAAGTTGCTCAAAGTCACACAGCTAGTAACTAGCAGAACTGAGTCTGAAATGGAAGATAGTCTGACTCAAAAGTCTGTGGTCTTAACTATTCAAATCCATAGAGAAACTGAGGCATGCAATGAGGAGATCAATTGCCTAAGTCAGTTTAGCAGAAACAGGCCCAGAACCCAGATCTCCTGGCTCTGCTTCCAGCATTCTTTCAGAAGGCCATGCTGTCCCTTTCCCTGTCAGTTCTCTGTTCCCAGGCCCAAGAAATTTGGGCCCTCCAATGGGCTGTGTGGTCTCTAATTAAATTAAAATGAAAAAAGACAAAGTAGGTGTTTGTTACAAACTTGAAAATCAGAAGTAGAGAAGAAGCCTTTGAGGAACTGACTAACAACAGTACAAAGAACTAGAATGATAAGTACATAAAAGATTAGAAATTCAAATGTCATTGCAGTCCTGAGAAATCAGTAAGTACAAGCCTGATTAAGTTCAGGAGAACATTCAGAGAGGAGAGAATACATTGCAGACCCATGCAGCTATTGATCACCAGACCAACTAGGTACCTCATTCATTCAGGGCCACCAAGGGGAAAGCAGCAGGCAGAGGTGAGGAGGCCTGAGTGCCAATGTAAGGGCCAGACCCTTACCAACCCAAAATCCTCATGCTGCCTGGTGTGAGCCAGCTGTGTAACCCTGCAAACTTTTTAGCCTCTCTGGGCTCCACTCTCCTTATCTATAAAGTGGGGATTCATGCCTCATCGAGTTGAGAATTAAAAGAGCTCACTTATAGTAGTGCCTGACACACAGTAAGTATTCAGTGTGTATTAGAAATTACCATATTGGAAGATGAACTGTGGGAGAATTTAAGATACAGTATAATGAGGGAAGGACTGTGGAAGAAATGATGTTTTCAGAAAAAGATGGAATTATGTGAAGCTCGAAGCTAGAGTTGCACAGCAGAATCTGAGGCTGGAAAGCCAGGCTGGAGTTGGCTTGGAAAGGGTCTCATGGGCCGTTCTGGGGAGCCTGGGCATTCCTCACATTTGGGAAATCACATGGGATGGTAGAGCTAACCTGGAGAGAAGGCAGGCAGAAACCAGGAGAACCCAGTCCTGGGGAGCAGAGTGGTTGAGAGCTGGGGAGAACAGCGGAGATATTCAAGAAGGTTGGGGAAGTTTGGTGCTAAGTGGTTTACAAACCTTCAGTGCATGCCTGCCAGAAGCTCAGTCTGATTAAAACTGTGGGGAAAAGAAAATTCAAGGAAACTAATGGCTCCCTAAGAGAAGATGAGAGGAATTATTTAACCATAAAAAGATAGGGCTAAGAAAAAAATTGTTTTTGATGTACTGGAGTTTGAACTCAGGACCTCATGCTTGCTAGGCTGGTGCTCTACCACTTGAGCCACTCCACCAGCCAAGTCTAAGAAATTATTAAAATAAGAAGCCTTGTAGCTGGTAGAGTGGCTCCAGTGCTAGAGCACCTGCCTAGCAAGTGTGAGGCCCTGACTTTAAACCCCAGCATGGCCAAACAAGAGAAACACACCTTATAAGTAAAATGTTTCCCTCTGGAGTCAGACAAGGAAATTAAGGCTAACTTATAACATGTAGGAGTCAAGTTCGATATGAGGAAGAGCTTCCTAACCACATGACAATTATAGGTATTGAAGGAAAACAGAAGAGTTTAGTTCAAAACTGAACTTGCCTTTTTATAAGTAGTCATGCCTTGGATGGAGAAAGTTAGGAAAGTCTAAAAGTCCTTCCTATATAATTTCAATGTATAAGAAAACATTTTAAAAGTGTTAAGACCATTTAAATGAGTTATGAGTAATCTACTGGGTGATTACTGCCCATCTCAAGTCACCCATTACATCAAGAGGCTGCTTACAAGCACGCTTAGAACAGTGAGATAAAAAATAGGTCAAAATTCTAGGAATTGCTGAGTCAGGAAAGCTGTTTCAAGACATCTGGCCCAAGAAAATCCACTCAAGGCACAAGGGAAACAGGCTGATGACGTCTGAACCCTTAGTGATCATATTTGAAAGCTTGGGGAGGGCCCAGAGCAAGAAAAACACAGGGGAGTGGGGAGGCCCCATTAATATAAGCATAAGGATTACGGCTAACAGGTTTCTCAAGCCTTGGGGCACAGTCACATTCCCACAATTATTTTCCCTCTAGCAGTGTATTCTCTACCCCACTATCTGTGGCACCCCCTCTGTGCTACCTCCACCTGTCCTGGACTCCTTTGGCCTGTGATTCAGAGCTGCCACTTTGAACATCAAGTTCAGTGTTTTCTCTCCACCCCACAGACTCACACCATCTTCTCACTGCTGGGAGTAGACCATGCTTATGTCACCAGCATTGGCAGACTCATTGGAATTGTTACCCTAAAGGAGGTAAGAAAACAGGACCACCAAAGCCACTTCCAAAAGGACATGGAAGCTTATGTTCAACTCCCCTGGGGAAGTGCTGGGGAGGAATGTGAGCAGAGCTCTGAATGCAGACATCTGACCCTCTCCTTTCCAGCTCCGGAAGGCTATTGAGGGCTCTGTCACAGCCCAGGGTGTCAAAGTTCGGCCACCCCTTGCCAGCTTCCGAGACAGTGCCACCAGCAGCAGTGACACAGAGACCACAGAAGTTCATGCGCTCTGGGGACCCCGCTCCCACCATGGCCTCCCCCGAGAGGGCAGCCCTTCTGATAGTGACGACAAGTGCCAATGAACCCCTCAACGGGTGGCCTCAGTAGTGGCCATGTTGCTTCTGCCTTGGGAAAGCAGGAGGCAGCTGCAGCCAGAGAATGGAGCACCAGCTTCTCCCACACCATCCTACCTGTAATCTGACCCAGCACCCACTGCAGCAGGAAGATCCGCACTGAGGACTGTCCTGACAGGATGGGGTGGGGTCACATGACCCCTGCTCCCTCTTTGAACGGGAAAGGGGTACAACTAAGATGGGTTTATACTGGAACCTCCAATGACCAGATGTATATAGAGATTTACAAAGATTTTTATATTAATTTAATAAAACAAATTCTTAAATAGAACAAAATAAACACCTAATGAGCCACTTATATATAGAATGTTTGTGCCTGTAAGCTGTTGTTCTTACCTTGGGTCCTCTTACCTGACAAAGCCTATAAGGCTTCTAATTCTGCAGTCACTTACCCTCCCCATAGCCATCTAGAACCCAGTGTCCTTGGAATGCGTGATCTGCCAGAGGCCATCACTGCCTGGTCATTAACATACTGGCTGGGGCAGGGCCCCTAGTACTGTGGCTGTGGCCTTCCGTTCAGCCAAGAAAGGCACTATTCCCTCCCATCACTCATTGGCACAATTCTGACCAGGTGCAGGCATCAGCTGACAGCTTCCTGCCATCTCTGTGGCCCCCTTGTGGCCCACTCTGGAAGAACATTCAAGTCAGAGCTCTGTAGCAACCAGAGCTATCTGTTCTTCCAGCTCCACCCTCCAGAGAACTCTGCATGTGCCCACACATCCTTAGAGGGCTGGGAAAGGGCCCAGGCTTCATGGCGGGGCCAGAAAAGGATGGAGGGCACACATTTTCATCATTCCAATGCCTCCCAGAGAAGATCCGACTGAAAGAACAGACCAGAAACCCTCGGTCTTCAGGAAGAAAGAAGAAGGTTTAGAGACGATGAAGACACAGCAGAGCCCAGCTGGGCAAGGGGCCCTCAGGGGACGGCTCAATCTGTAGGCTCCTGAGGGCAGGAACCAGACCCCAGGTGGAGGTGGTTCTATCAAGCACTGCACATGGACTTGAAGGTGAGGAGAGAAGCGAAGGAGAGGTTCATGGAGGGTTGGGGGGAGGAGGTGGCCAGGCTTTTCCTCCCACTCCACCCCCCAACCCAGTCACAGCAACCCCCTTAAGGGGTTCACATCATCCGAGGAGGAAATGTGGCATTTTGGATTTAAGAACATGAACATCACTGTCTGCCACAGCTGTAGTCATGCCCCAGAGGCCCCGGGCAACCCCCGGCAAACCCCAGGAGTGGGGGCAGGACATGCGCCCCCAGCCCGACCCCTGCCTCCTCTCCAAACACTTTCATGCAAAACACACAACGAGAAGTGAGTGCTCCCAGGAGCCCTCTAGGCTGAGAGCCTTGAGCCCACACTTGGGCATGGAGGCTCTGCCCCCAGCAGCAGCCAGGGGACACATGCCATCAGTAGACATGATGTGGGTCACTGTTCTTCCGGCTCTGCCTCATCCTCATCTAAGGACACCACCCCAGAAGAGGCCACATCAGAGGCTTGCCGCTGCCGTTCCCAGCTGCCCATGGGCGGAGGGCCAAGCGGCTGGCAGTCCTTGCAAGGGTCAGGCTCCTCTTCAGCAGGGGAAAGGCAGGATTCTGTGAGGGGCGAGTTGTAGAGTGAGTCCTGGGCCTCCAATGGGCCCAGGCTGCGGAAGGCACTTTCCCGGCTGGGGGGCAGTTTGGCAAAGAGCAGCTCTTCACCCAGCAGCTGGGAGGTCAGCCGAGCCGGGGAGCCCAGCAACCCATCCTCTAGGCTGCACAGACTAGAACACAGGGTATCTGGGGACACGGTCTGCGAGCAGTCGCTCTCAGGCTCCACGGAGCCCTGGCGCACAGGCCGGGAGAATCTGCGGCCAGTGAAGAGGTCCTGGAGGTGGGGCCCCAGAGACAGCTGCCCAGCCATATCTAGAAGGAGAGAAAAGAAGACAGTTCTGCTGGCCCATTTCAATGGGCCAACCTGGAAGCCACAAGGCCACACCCTGCCGACCCCTCAACCCCTGCCTTAGCTGGGCAGGGGATGAGTATAGAAGCTGGGTAACCTTGAACAAGTCACAATTTTTGATGCCTTAGTTCCTTCCCTTCATGGTAAATTAGGAATTCTAACAAAACCTATCTTATGGGGTTGTTGAGAGAACAAATCTGGCACATAGGAAGCAAGCAAAAAAAGCAGGGCCACCACATATGGTCCTGTGGGGTGTTCACCAGGCAACGGGTGAGGGCTGAAATTCAGCCCACACTCTGCTCACTAAGCAACATGCTGTGGAATGGGGCTTTGCCCGTCAGGAAGGGGGTACCTTTTAAAAAACCTGTTCAAAGATTCCACATGGGCTAGTAGCAGGCTTGAATAAATGTTGGTTATTATCATTATCCCAGGGTCAGAGCAGGCCTGGAAGTCAATCAAGTGAAAACACTGATTGGGGGTTCTATCTTGGCCTCAGGCACCCAAATCAGTTTCCTATGGACCACAGCAACAGACTCTGGCCTACTCTAATGTAGGGCCTGCCTTGGAGAACTTGTTAATTAGCTAGAGGGGTAGAAGCTGGTAGAGACTATCTTCAAAGGCAAAGAGGTTGGGGGTGGGGGTCCTGTAAGGCCTGAGCCCAGGAGCTACAGAGAAAGTCAACCATATAGCTTAGGGAATGGAAAATGCAAGAAGAGTGGAGCACAGCTGCACAGCCCTCAGGTCCCCCCTCTTCAAACACTGGCCAAGAGCACAGCTCACAGACTGGAATGCAAGGATGCTGAGCTAGAGCCAGCGCCCTGTGGAGTCCAGGCCCAGCACATTTTCCTGTTTGCCAGGGGCCACTGCCCTGTGAGGTGCTGGGCACTGCACTGCAGCTCATCTGTCCTACCACAGACTTGAGAGGAAAAGGCAAGAGCACCGCAGACCCTCCCAGAGACAGGGCTGCTGCATAGGTGTCCTGAGGTCTCTGGGCTTTTTTCTTTTTATTTATTTATTTATTTTGAAGACTGCAAGGCCCAACAGTACTCATGAAGAGAGAAGGCTGAGCACCTGTAGGAAAGGAGCTACTCCATTTCCAACTGGTAATTTCCATTAGTGTGGCCAGTCCTCCTGCCCCTGGGCTATCAGGTCTGCCCTGTCCTGTCCTGAAGGCTGAGAATGCTCTGGGTGTGGCTCAGAGATGATAACAAGGCCTATCACACAGGTTCTCCCCATCTGGCAGCACCAGCATGCCCCTCACCTGTGTCAGTTCCCCCAGCAAAGTCCTCGTCATAGGAGTCATCAGTGGAGTCGTCCCCATCCACTGAAGACCACGCCCGGAGCTTGGCTTCTGCAATAGCGAACTGCTCGGCCACTCCTATCAGGGAGATGCAGAATTCATTAGCACAGGAGCTGAGCAAAGACTAGGGCGCAGTTTGCAGAGACAGGGCTACGGAAAGACTTCAATCCCCACACCAGGCCAGAGCTCAGGGGCAGCAGCCTAGTGACAAGTGTATGGCCAACCTCTTTTGGGCCACTCACCTGCTGCAAAGCGGGCTTCTTGTTCACCCTCGCTGAGGTCTGAATAAGAGGAAAAAGCTGATTCCAGGGCAGCAGGTGAGTCACTGGGCTTGCTCCAGCCCTTCCATTCAATGAGGTGAGCCACTCGGCCCTGGGCCATAGCCGTAGGCTTAGTCACGTGATCCTTCACCACCTGGGAGATACCTAAAGGTAGATAGGAGAAGTCTGGTAAGGACACTACTCAAGCAACACCTGATAGAGAAGTGGAAGTGGGAAGGAAATTAAGATCCATGTGTGCCTCTGGGTGGGAGGAAGGGCTGGGATTCATTTGTATAAGGGAGATCCCAGCAAGTGTCCACAGAAAATAGTCCCAAAGGACATGGGCAAAAAGGAGAAAGACAAAGGCCAGAGGCATAGGAGGGGTTGCCTACCATGCAGGGAAGATCTGGCCAGCGCAGCGATCTCCTGGATGGTTAGGGCTCTCCGGGACTTGGGCAGCATTGCGACTGTGTCTCCAACATTCACCTTAAATAACACCATCAGAAGGTCAGTGTCCCTCTGACAGCACTGACCTTCCCTCAACATGCCCACATCCTACCCAAGGCATGAGAGGGAGCTGGGACCTGGGAATGCCAGGGCAGCACATACACCTGATGCCCCAGTGGCTGCAGGTGTACATAAAAGGATAAGAGGCTAGGACTAGCAAACTGTCCTCTCAGGGAGCAATGAAGACTCGAGCAGGCCCAAGGGAACAGAACTATAGCTAAGTTTCCACATTCCCAGTTCCCAGAGCGTAAGTAGGCAGGTCAGGAAGTGAACTATGGAGTGGGGCCTCTAAGGAGAGGGAAGGGAGAATGATATGGCATCAGGGACTCCTTTAAGGTTCCCTCCCCACTTCTCTTAGTCTTCAGGTCCAGATTCTAGCTGTTCCTAGACTGCCTACCAGAGCCACACACTGGCATGACCAAAGTCAAACCCACTCTTCCCCCTATATCTGGCCCTGCTTCCTGACCTCTCTACTTTGCAGTCGCCCCACTGTCCTCCCATTCAACCTGGCTCCCTAGTTCAGCATTACCACCAATTCTCCCTTAAGCTTTGCCTGTCCATATCTGTTGTTCAGACCTTGAGATTCCACCTCCAAGCTATGCTGCCCTTGCCCTTTCTCCCACTGCCACTGCCCTTTCTCAAGCCCTCAATGCCCTGCTCAGGTTAGCACAAGTCATGGTTCCCTAACCTCTGCCACCTCTGCTGTGAATGTAAGTGCTCCTCTCTCCTTCCCTCTCTTCCCATGGCCAGCAGACTCTTTCTCATCCTTTCAGTTTAAGCTAAAATATCACCCCCTCAGAAGAGCCTTCCTGGTCATCCTGCCAGTGGTCTGTCCTCCCTTTTGTAGTCTTCAACTAGACTATATCTATGTACCCTTAATCGCCATGTGTAATTATGTCCTGCTTTACAGGTTTCTTGTTGGTCTCCCTCCTCTTTGAGGAGTTTTTCCTGTTGTGGTCAATGCTGCACCCAGCGTTTAACACACTGGCTAATACATAGTAATTGCTCAAAATGCATAGGCAGAGTGAGGCAATGTAGAAATGTAAACAAATAATTTTCCTGGAGTGTGGTGTGGCTGGTCACGGCATGTCTTTATTTAAAGTCTTTTCTGGGTTCCTCCACCGTCCAGTGACATTAGTGCAGACTTCCTACCCAGGCACTGAAGGAATCCACTCTGAGGCCTTTGCGGCTCCTTGGAATCCAGTACTGATTTCTGCCCAATACAATCCCACTCCTCCACCTTCCCTATGGGTAAGTAGCCTGCTGGCCTCCAGGAAAAGGAACCACCTTTCCTTTGGGCCAAGAAGGCAATTCTTACCTGACAAAATACTCCCTACCATTTGAGGCCTGCCTGTCTCCAGTGCTACTCCTAATGATGCTATCAGCCCACAGAATGAATCTCATCTTTGACACCCTCTCCCCTCCCCCAGCATTACCCTTGTATTGCTCCTGAGAGAGCTGGGGATGGCAGGGCCTGAGTCTGATTCACCTGGGCTCCTCACTCCATCCTGCATTTGGCTCACTGCTCCTTGACAAGTCCTAGGAAATGTGTCTCTCAATGAAGAGATACACACACACACACACACACACACTCAGTCTCTCTCTCTCTCTCTCTCTCTCTCTCTCACTCTTTCTCTCTCTCCTAACTCTCCTCTATCATGGTCCATTCCATACAATAGCTGCCTCCACCTGCCCCTTTGACCTCAGGCCCACCCTCTGTCCCTCTTCAGTACCTGGCTGACAGAGCCCCCAAGGTGGCGCCGGTAGCCTCCAGCCAGGCCTGGGCGAAGGACCACCTGCAGGGTGTTTCCTAGCGCGCTCTCCCTCCCTCCCCTCGCTCCCCCCAGCCGCCGCCATCCGTGCCCAGCGCTCCGCGCAGCTGCGGCCCAGACCCAGAGAAAAAGGTGTATGTCTCCCTGGCAACCCATCACCATGCAACAGGGTCTCCCGGGATACGGCCCGGGATGCGCTGACGTCAGCGCCGAAGACGCGATCAAGCCCGCCCGCTGGCACCGCGCCCGACCACAGCAGACCGGTGCGGGGGCGGCCTTGCGGCTCGCCGGCCGGAAAGCGCCTCCGCTCACAGGAAAAGGGAGCCCGGAGCAGGATGGCGAGACGGGGGTGGGGATACAGATCTCCTAAATGTGGATACGACAACTCTTCCCCATCATCACCGACATAGGGGCCCCAGCACCTCTGGCAAGTCCTGGCTGTCCACGGAGGAAGGACGGGATGATCGGCTCCAGCCTCGGAGGGTCCGAGCAGATCCCAGGGAGGACAAGGAGAGGCCACGAGGAAGTTCGATCCACTCCACAGCCCACGCGGGATCCGAGGCCACTGGGTGGGGAAAAGGCTGTTTAGCTGGGTCCCCACTCTGCCAAGGTCCTCATTTTCATCCAGTGTTGCCTGACCATTTCGTGTTATCCCTTCCCCCATCTCCCAGAATATCAATGGACCACCTAGTGCTCTCCTCAACTCTGAAAACTCCTATCCCACAGCTCTGACCAGCAGTTTTGTGGCAGGCCAATGGCCACCTTCTTCCTCTACAAATATTTTGCCATCAAAACTCTAGGGTGAAACCAAAACGTGAATAAATTCTGAATCTTCTCCCAGTTTCTCAGCCTACCCACTCCTCTTGGAAAGCACACTGAATTCTACCACTACTGTCCCCCTCCCCATCACCAGCCTGGACTGTTTGCAGGCTTGCTGCTTTCCTGCTGCCTGGACTTTTTCTGTCTTGCCTCAACTGGTCGGCAGCTCTTTACTCCTTTTCTAACAAACCCATGGTTTTTTTCATTTTCACCTCTTAAAAACCTTTTCCTGAGGCCCTTTCTGGCCCCAGCCTGAGTTCTCCTTGTTTAAGCCTGACTCTTAATATTTAAACCAGAGTAATTTTCCTCTCTCCATCTGAGCACCTCAACACCTTAACGCCTCAGCTCCCCATCACCTCCCAGATCACATCGAAGGTCTCTGGTCTCACCTCTGCGACTTGTCTGACAAGTCCATCGTCCTCCAGGCCCTTCTCGCTGCCACAGAAACATTTTGCCCAGCACAGAAATCATAGGCATGCTGGCTGTGTTGATGCAGAGAACCAAAAGCCCAGAACTGCTCCAGGCTCAGCTCCCAGTTCTATTCCTGTTCTGGCTCTGGATGCTGAGCCAGTCCCCTCCCCACTTGGAACTCGTGCCTAGTCACATACGGAGAACACTCCTGCCTCATGGCTTTGAGGAGGTGGGAGTGCCAGGGGCCTAGCAAAGCCATCTGGGGTTTAAGGAACTGAGGCCCATCCCCTAGACAGTGCCAACAGGCCATGTACATCACAACTGACCTTTAGCTGGAGCAGCCGTCTCTGTCCCTGAGCCTCAGCCAGCTGGTGGTCCCCAGAAATGCTACCAACCAGAAGGAAGACAAGTTACAGACTATCCCTAGCCCCCAGCTGGTACCTAATCAGAGCTGTCCAGGCCAGTCCCTGAGGTCAGCCAAACTCTCCCCTGACTACAGGAGGGGATGACTTTCTGAACTCTCAGCAAGCCAGAAGATCAGAGCAGCCTGCTGTGTTTCTCAGCTTCAAAAGCCATGAGGTTAATTTAGGACTACAAATCCCAGAATTCCTCAAGGGAAGTAAAAATCTCAGCCCAGAGTTTAGCTCTAAAAAGCCTTAAGAATCAACCACACCAAAGCCTGGGTGACTGGTCACTTGCCTTGAAGGCCCAGGACCCATTCCAAGGTCTTGAATGTCACAAGTCCTTGTCTGGCATTAGGCTTTAAAGAAACCCACAACACTGTAGATTGGCAGACCCACTAAGACCAGGCCCTTACATGCATCACCATCCATGGAAACCAAGGCTTGAGCAGGGGTCAGTGTTTGTGGGACGGAAGCCCACTGATGACCTCCTTCTCCTGAGTTAGGATGATTTTGGTTTTGGTAGGGGTGGAGGAAGGAAACTAAAAGCAATTGTAAGAGGTGAGACGTGATCAGATTTTGACAGGTGTCCCACATGGGGCCTCAATCAACCGACTCTGAATGGGAAGCAAGTGTTAGTGGAAAACTCTGGTAGGGTGCTTGGCCCTCGTTTGCAGGCTGACTGTTAAGAGGACAGCCACCCAGCTGGGAGAGGCAGGTTCCCAACACAGGCCACTCCCAAGACAGTGAGAGGAGAGGTGTAGGCAGAGGGGAGTGTGTGGACATGCAAGGCCAGTTGCCAGTGACAGGAGAGATGGGGTCCTCAGGTTCCCCCGCCCCTCCCAAGGCTGTGCTCCTCCTGCCATCCTCAGCAGTGGGGGATACAGAGGATGGCGGCAAGACCACGCGTCTGTTCTGCAAAGCCCAGGAGGAGACAGGCCACGGATCGAACTGGAGTCGGTTAACCCCCTCCTCGCTCCCTCCCCTGGCCTGGCCCGCCTTCGCGTGCAGGCTCCTCCCTCTCCCGACACCGGCCCACTCCTCAAGGCCCCCACGCACCCACGGCCCGCGTACCGGGCGGCCGCAGCCCGACTCCCCAACCGTGCCCGGTCTCCGCCTCTTACCCTGACCCGCCGGGCTCCGAGAGCGGATACAGCCCATGGCCGGGCACCCAGGGACGCTAGCCTGCGCTCGGGGCCCGGGCCATCGCCTTGTAGAGGGTCGGGCCGCGGCCGCCACCGGGGAGGGGACAACCCGTGAGGGGAGGGGGTGGGAGCCGCGCGTCCGCCGCCGCTCCCGGGAGAGGGAACCGGGCTGGTGACGTAAGTGCGGGGGCGTGACTCCCGCGTCTCCACCCCAAGCAGGCGGGACAAGGCCAACGTCACCGCCACGCAGGTGCGGCCTGGAGCGGAGTTCGGAAAACGCCCGCCCTGCCCTCCCAAGCTACTGAGGAACCGTCCTGAAGGCAGGGAGGCAAGGATGGCCTTGCGGTACCATCACACAATCACACTACACGGGACCAAAAAACCGCAGCATCCAGCGCCCATTTTACAGAGGGCATCTTGAAACCAACAAAATGTTCCTCCATCTATAAACAGCCTGAAACTGGGAGCCTCCACAGGGGCCTAGATCACAACCTGGCAGGACAGCCAATACAGCAATTTATGTTCTACAAAGTACCCCACAACTAGGTATCTCCCACCTCCTCTCCCAGCCAAGAGGGGCACCCCATAATGCCCACCAGGAGAGCCCACCCCTCCATGAGAAGTGGCTCCTCAGGCCCAGGAAACCATGAGCAAGTTAGAGGAAGGAGGGATGCCAGGTTAACAGGAACCGTGCTACGGTGCCAACTCTGGAAAGGATGATGATCCCTATCCGTACTCCTTCTCCAAAGGGAACAAGCTATAAAGCAGAGAGGCAGTGAGCTTAATTGAATTCATGTTTAATAATTACAGGCACCGTGCCCCCCTTCCCCCTGCCCAGGCAGCAGCAGGGGTGGTGCAGGGGCTGGGGCATATGCCCCCAGCAGCGAGGACGGCAGTCCCGAGAGTGATTTTCAGAAAATAAAAAAGGACCCCGGGGCAGGTAGTGGTGCCCCACCCCCCAAGACACACCAAATTTCAAGACTTTATATATAATATATCTCTGTGCCCCAGGGGGAGGAGAGGGACACCTGGCAGCATCCTGGAGGGGCCCCAGGCAGCCCCAAGCCATCCTGCCTCATCAGCCACTTTATTAGCTCAGACACATAGCACTACAGGCACCCACTGCCACTGCCGCCGCTGCTGCCCCCTGCAGTCCAGACGGCTGGCTGGGCCATCCTCGTGTCCATGGGGCTCCAAGTCCCCGCCCCCACCCGCCCTCAGTTGTGGTCAGACTCTTCCTCCTCAGCCTCACGAAGCCAATTGAAGAAGGCTGTGACAGATTTAAGGGCCACACCCTTGCCCTGCTGCTCCGCGGGGTCCTTGCTGCTCTCCCAGCTGTAGAAAGCATCCTCCTTCACCACGTCCTCATCATACAGAGCATCAAAGAACATCCGAAGCAGGTCTGCAAGCCATCAGGACAGTAGTTAAGAGGTGACTGGCCACAGACTCACCAGCCCCTTCCCCCAGGGTTCCCTCCCCCAAGCTCCACTGTTTAACAAGATCCTGTCCTACATCCTGACATTTGTGTCTGACCATTCCAGAGTGACCAGGCCTCTGACAGGAAGCTAATCTCATGATCTAAGAGAATGGTTTATAGGAATGAATCGCTTGGCCATCAAACAAAATCTTGCAAGCCAGACCTGGTGGCATGCCTTTTACACCAGCACTCAGGAAGCTGAGGCAGGAGGATCATGAGTTTGATGCCAGCCTAGACTACATAGCAAAGTCCTGTCTCCAAAAAACAAGACAAGCTCACCTAGCCTCACCTTGGCAGCTTTGAACTTTCTCCACTCTTTGTTATATTTAAAGGGGAAAACTATTATTAGAGAATTGGCACTCCTGAATTTGGGGGTTCACAGACATCCCAAATACATTATTCACAATTGTAACCTGGGAAGTCCACTGGGCCCCAAACAGATCCTGACAAAGTCTTGAACTCAATTTCCTCTTCATTCCCACACATCCCTTGAACCCATCTCTGGTTCTGACACTTTTGAGGGGGCTACATCCTTTGCCAGGAACATCTGTTCTTTTGTCACCTTCCTAGTAAAGTCCTACTTTGACCCATTTTCCTTTCTACACTAGGAAACAATGCTGAACCATTGTCCTGTAATACCTAAAAACAACATCCCATCCCCCACAATGCATTGCCAGTCTCCCCAAACCAAACTTTATGTTCCTAAAAAGGGGGGCAGAGTAAATGAAATAAAGCACAAGACCTCAAATCCAGACCCAGGTGAAATGCTATCTATAAGAAGCTGCAAGCAGCTGGGCGCTGGTGGCTCACGCCTGTAATCCTAGCTACTCAGGAGGCAGAGATCAGGAGGATCACAGTTCAAAGCCAGACCAGGCAAATAATTCACAAGACCGTATCTCGAAAAAACCCATCACAAAAAAGGGCTGGTGGAGTGGCTCAAGATGTAGGCCCCAGTACTAAAGAAGAAGAAGAAAAAAAGAAGCTGCAAGCCAGGACATTTTTCAAGGCATTTCACCCATACAACCACAAACTCTACTTATGGGCACAGTTGCTTCCCACCCAAATCACACAGCAGTGCAGCAGCATATCCTTCACTTATCACACTTGTGCTCCAAAACGTAAACACTCATCCAGAGAACCCTATAATCAATTATCCATTCTGCCTTACATATGTAAGTCCAAAGCTTCTACTGTTTACACACAAAAGCCTTCCCCCACCCATTAACTATTATCACATAGTTTAATAGAAGATTTTATCTACACTTTCTTTCTATCTCAAATACTTCAGTCCTTCCCAATCCAGAGCCTGTCCCTTGCCCCACCAAATACTGTTTTTGCCAGGGTGGCCTCCATGTTCTTGTATTTCAGAGGCCTTTTATTTTCCGATCTGCTACTACTGAATTCTGCAGCATCTAGCATTGTCAACCATTTCCCTATCCTAAAATTTCTTTCCTGCCTTCATCTGGTTCCCTACCCATGTGTCCTCTACTTCCCCCAAGGTTCTATCCCAGGCCTTCATCACTGCCCCTCAAGCAATCCCGTATCCTTGTTTCCTACACCTCCTTCTATCCGCCCCCCCATGTCATCGCACTATCACTTCACCTGCTAAAACTATTGCTGGGAGTCATTCATGACTTCTGATTTCTCATGGTCCCCTCCCCAGGCCAGTACAACTAAAAACTGTCAACTCCATTTCCTAAGTAGCTCTTGAATCTACTCACTCCTCCCCCATCTCCATTATCACCAGGGAGGTGAACTCACTAGTGTGGATCCTGCCATATCCATCCTCTCCCTGTTCCAAACCATTCTTCCCACTAAAGCCAATGATCTAAAAGTTAAAGTCGAATTTTTTTTCTTCCTTGCCTACAATCCTCACAAAGACTTTATCCTACCCCTAAGCCCAGTCCAAAGCCCCAACATGACTCACACAACTCTGCAGGACCCACCCCATTCATCTCTCTAGTCCCCTCTTGCCTCACCAGTCACTAGGTACACTGGTCTTCCTTTGGCAGCTCTCTTCCCTTGTTTCAAGTTCCTTCCAACTCAGGACCTGACTTTATACACACAGTGCCTCTGTTTACAGGGCTCCCCCTCTCATCACTTAGCTAATTTCTACCAATCATCCCTCACATCAATCTTCAAACCACTCATCACTCACACTGTCACCAACTCCAGGCCAGCAGGGGAACTGTACTTGACTTCCCCACTGTGATTATCTAACACCCTGACACATACCTATTTGCTGAATGTATAACCTCAGGGATGTTCAGCTAAGCCTCAGTCTCCCAATGTAGAAAAAAAGGAATGATACCGTCTACCATAAACAGCTATGAGGATGCAATCAGCCTTGTGCCAGGCAGAGAAACATGTGATATATGAAAGATGCTATTGCTTATCACCTCTACACTGCTGGCATCTAACAGATGGCTAGGCACAAAGCAGGTAGTCAATTAACCTTCAAGGCTGAGACTAACTCCTTCCATGTATAGGGAAAGGAAACATGTAAAGGAAAGGAATGAAACCATGAGGGCATTTTGTTTTCAAATGACTTGGGTGCACAACCTTTTTGGGGCTGCGCAGAGTCCATGACTACCCCCCACTATCTAGCAAGCCCTCCACCCCACTCCCATCCCTGTGGCCTGGCTCTTACTGGCAGGCTGTTCTAAGGTCACTACAAGGGCCTGGAGGGCATAAAGCGCTTGCAGCTCCTTCTGTTCATCACACAGGTATTTCTGTAGCAGTCTCGCTCGTGCTTTCAGCACTGCAACATCCACTCGAAGAGGAGTCTCAACTATAGGGAAAAAAGATATAATTAGAATAATACAGCCAAGTTCAGCCCTAGAAGGCCAGGACTGAAATCCTTTTCCTTCTATTTATCAGTTGGGACCACCCTTGCCCCACCATCTCCCTGGCTTCTCTTACAGATAATTGCAGAATAGCAGACAGTTGTCATGAGGGCTCGAACTAAAATATTGGATGCTATCTGCTGCTCATTCAGGTTAGCCTGTACAAGAGAAACAAATGGCTTGTAAATTCTGAACCATGCCCCTGAACCATTCTTGTCACCCTCCCATCCACCCCAAGAAACACTTTTTCTTCCCCCTACCTCCATATCCAGGAGTAACACACCTCTATCCAGTCGAACACCTGCTGGTTGCTGCTGCCCTCCTTCAGCAGCTTCTCCAGCTGCCTGCTGATCTCCTCAAAAGCAAGTGCCCTTTGGCCAGGGGATTCAGACTCCTCTCCCAGGGTATATTCCACCTTCTGCAACCAAAAGGGCCCATAGTCATAGCATAAAAGATGAGGAAGGAGGAGACTGGCCAGTCTCAAATGCTAGAATTAACCAAACTCTAGCCCCAAACCTGTCCAGCGACGAATGCACCAACATCCTGGCCTTCAGGTAGAAATTCCTTCCAGCTGAGCCCAGCCTCTC